TGGAAGGGAAGGGAAGGGAAGGGAAGGGAAGGGAAGGGAAGGGAAGGGAAGGGAAGGGAAGGGAAGGGAAGGGAAGGGAAGGGAAGGGAGTCCTTTATCACTGGACTGTCAGCTATTTCTGGCAGTGAATTCTCTCTTTGTAGCACTTGTTTTGTGGCAGTCATTGTGAGGTTTGCCTTGCTTTCCCTCTGGGTTCTCTGCATGTGCCCCTTTCTGAAATTGTACTTCTCACTGGGGAAGTCCACTTCTCCACCAACCTGAGAAAGCAACGCCACGGAGCTCCAGCAGAAGCCCAGGCTGGAACTGCTCCCAGAGTAACAACTGCCCCCTTGATGGAAGGCTCGCGTGAGTCTGAGTGCACCGTGCACCAGGCACAAACCAGCCTCTAGGGACAACAGGACAGGCCGCCGTGCCATGGCAGCAGAGCACCTGGAGGCTGGGGTCCTTTGTGAGCCACGAGATGTGATTCCAGGACTGTCAGTCCTTCCAGCCGAGGGCAGCGATGTTCTACACAGGCTTGACGCCAACGTGCACCAAGAGCAACGCAGACTCTGGGCTCAACTGACAGCAGTGCAGCCTTCTCCACAGCACGCAGCCCTATCCCAGTGCATCTGTATCAGCAACGTAGAAACTAGCATTAGCACGAGGAGAAGACACACATACGGACCAAGCAGGAGCTGCAGCTTTCCTCAGTTTGTGACAAGGCCTCGGCTGGATGCTGGGATGCTCCCCACGCACAGCCAGGCACTTGCAGCAAGCGCCTTGTGCCCATGAGCTGCAGCAAGGCACAGTGCTGTACACATGAAAATGCCTGCAGGTCCCAGTTCAGTGCGATACTGAAGCAACCACCAATCTTAAACGTTAAAGTCAACAGGCCTGAGTGCATATACAGTCACACAAATTCATTGCTGGGCTGAGCACGTCCCAGCTCATAGCAGCAATGGGAGGACATTGTGCAGGACAAACAAAAAGCCTCAAGGAAAGGATTAGTGGTGTCACAAGTTAAACACCTCCTCCCTGATGACATTCAGGATTGGGTCAGCTGTGCAGGCAAGCGAGAATGCTGCAGCATGGAGTGAGAAACAAACTGCTGCCTCCAGTAGCATTTCAGATAACAAGCAGAAGACTAGCATACAACAAGCAACATTTGAAGAGCTTTCCCACAGAGGACAGGTAGAGATTTGTCAGTGTGTAACTGCATACCATTTCTACCCTAGACCTCCTTCTTGGCTGCTTTAACTTACCCAGCAGATTTAAATGTAAGAAATAACAATTAACTTCTCCTTATAATCAGCCTCCAAAATCTTGCAGCTCTTGCTTCACAGTTCCAAAAACCGAAACCTAGGAGAGCAGGTTGCAGTAGTGATATGCTGCCATTTACAGTCTACTGCATTACAACAAAAGATGCAGAAGGACCTGAGCAACAGCTCTGCCTCGCTGTCTTAAAAACAGACAGCCGGGGTTTGGTGACAGTATGAACAACCAGCCATCAGACCATCACTGGTCTTTAAAAAAAATAAGTGTATTATTTTAAAAATCACCTGAGTCCACACTAAATATACAAACAGCTCAGATGATCACGCCATCTCGTAAGTACAGGATATATCCAGAATTTGCTGTAGGTTATTTGAGCCTTTGCTCACAGCAAGCAGAAAGCGAGTTTGGGGCCTGCTGAAATAATTGCCAAGAAAGGATGAGACAGAGATATAAATCAAATTTATGGGCTGTCCAGCAGACTTCACATCCAATTTTCTCATCACGTCTCACCAAGTGCAGGCACTCACACAATCCTACTCACAACGGTTCTGACCAGAAACGTGTCAGACCCAACTACCCTGGGCCACATTTGATCTCAAGATTCAAAAAGGCAGCATGCATGTTCACGAGCAGACACATCATTTTAGACACCACACGTGATGCTTCATTTATCTGCTTTCACGTGTGTACCAGACCCGTTCATCTCCTTCCAGAAAAACCCAGAATGTAAACGCCAGCAACAAGTGCAGTTTAACACAGGCTCCAAGGAAAAGAAAGAAAGGCAGGACTTCACAGGTGTTTGTGGGAAAGAGAAACCGTTCAAGTGAGTGAGAAAACATTTCTAATGCTGATGCTTTGTAACATGACTGTGCCAGCTGAGATGCCTTCACAAAGGCCACATCATGTGCTATTGCTTCCATCACTCACTATTTCTAGTGTCAGAACTATGGCCAGATACTGTGCTAATCAGGAAAATCAATTTCTGTTCCTACAGAGTTTTTCTTGTAACGTAAACTGAACAGATTAATGCAAAAGAAATATGGATATTAATGTCAGACAAAAGTATGACATTAGTAGCAATATGGAACGAAAAAGCAACTACATCTGCTAAACTGTCTAATGGAACAGACGTGGAACAAAATTCCACCCGGTCTTCAACACATTTCATTCCCTCATTCTATAGTTAAACACAGGGTGCGACTGGTGTGGGCTTTAAAGAGGGGATTTATTACATAGGAAACGTCCAGGCTGGCTTTGAGAAAATCCTGAAGACGTAAGGCAGCACCGGCTCCAGCAGAGTGAAGAACCCTACAACCACCTCCCCCCTGCCTCGGGATCTTCAGTGACACTTCAAGCACTCGCTCAGCCTGACTGAGCCCAAGCTCTCTGTGGCACGACTACACTCTGCTTTCTCAGCTGGCAAGGGTGTTTTGACCAGAAATTCCATCTGGATTTTCAAAATCTTCTCAATTTAGATCTCATCAAGACTTGCACACATCTACAAGGGGCTTTTATTTCTAGATACAAAGCTTCCTGCAAGAAAAAAGCTACTTAGAGCATCTTTCCACCCATTCCAGCAGAATGACTGGTAACAGACTGTTTGTGCCTGTGCTTTTTGGGTAGAGAAAGTGTACATATGTGTACACACGTGCACAGGTATTCTTTCTGGTGAAGGTGGGCACCAAACACCAGCGGCCACTGGTGAGTCATGTAGATGGCAGGACTGAATGGATTTGACCCAGAGGTTCCTAGCCTTCCAAAATGGAAAAACAGATGACATAAAATGTTCTCAGCAAAACACCCCATCTTTGCATAAGAAAATATCCTTCTCTGTGCTTTCCTTT